GTGAATGTTTAAAATGTCACTGAATGACATCCTTTACTCCTTCTTTAATTCTTCAACCACACACTCATACATGACCTTACTCAAAGAGGAGTAGTATACATATAAAAGGCTCAGTCTAGGATTTCTAGCCTTTCTGAAGTCACTTCTGACCACAGACTGTGTCAGGACTGAGGACACAAAGTCACAGACAACGTAGTGAAGAGCGACAGTAGAAAGCCTTCTGAGGTAATACGGGCACGAGAAGGCTTCTTTTCTTCAGTCAATTTATTTTTTAAAATGCTACACTGTGGATATGCACACCACTGTCTGTTAGGGTCAGTGTTGTTGATCTGTTTTCTCTTAGAGCCTAGTGTTTGATAGAATTTAACTAATGTATAGCCATTCACTACAGACTCATTATTCAGTACTTATCTGATTAATTGCTCTAGCTTTTTCACAGAAACTCTAAATTTCTTCCTCTCTTCCTTATTGCAGAAAGTGAAAAGTCACTCTCATCTTTATCCATAAACAAATTGTTTATCATAAAGGGCTCACTTCTTTCCTATTCTTACTTGTATTTGCCTTCATAATAGAATTTCCTCTATCTGCCTGTGCATTCAGTCTGTAATTCCCAGGTTTATGATTGAGGCAGACGTAAAATTATATGAATGGTTTCTGGGGACATCTACAGTACGGAGTAAGTAACTTGCATGAGGTGTGTCACTGTGTGTTTGACTTGCTCTGACTGTTACAATACCTGAGCAAACAGGTCAAGCCACGGAAAATTACGACAGCTAAAATGCAAATAGAATACGTCTTACTTACAAACCTGACGTGCATAGTTTAGAAAAAAGTTTCACGGATGTGACGTTACTGCCTACAGATGGTATTTCCTGATGGATTTCCCTCAGTGGAGGAGGAGAGGAGGGACTAAGAGCTTTGTCAAGTTAGACTCAATGAAACAGTGGAAATCCTACAAATTATTCTGTTTGCTTTATACGGTTCAAAATTCTAGCTTACTGTTAAAGTATAATGTTAAAAATATATATTAACAATCACAACAGGTAGAATTTTTACCACTCTTCATTACAATGTTGCTTCAGCTCATTGAGGTTTGCAGGCATTCATTTCTGCACAGCTCTCTTAAGATCTGATCACAGCAATTTGCTTATTGCAACACCTTCTTTCCTTTCTGTTTCAGTTATTCTGCTGCAGATTTGCTGTTGTGTGGAGGACAGATGGCCTCATGTGGAATACTTTTGTATACAGTTTATGGTTAACAGGTTCTATGGCTGCAGAACAAGGCCAAATCCTCAACCTTCCACCACCATGCTTAATAGTTGGTATGAGGTTGTTCCAGAGATCTTGTGCTTTGTTTAGGTGCAACTTAGCAAACTGATGGTATGTCTTTAGAGAAGAGAGGCATCTTTTCATCTTGTTTGTTTTTTTTTTAAAAAAAAAATATAACATTGTAGCAGACAAAGAACAAAGGAAACTAAAAGTTTCTCTTTGAACACTAGTGATATTTGAAACTTAATTTGAAGGGGCTAATCATATTGTTAACATGCACTAGCTATGCCCTACAATCTATGTGGTAGATCAAATGTTCAGAAAAAGAAGCAGAAAATGAAAATGCTATTCAAGGTACAATACAGAAAAAATGTTACTTTGTGTTTAAGTTTTGATATAGCTTTTCAGTTAGCACCACTTTCTCAAAAGAACCAACAACTACACACTGTTGAAAAACTGTCACTTCTCCCTGTCTCTAATTCCCTGCACCTGTGCCTTTTGTGCCTTCCTTAAATAGGTCTCAGCTAGTCAATATTAGACACATCAAAACTGCCAATAATACAGGTCTTTTGGGCGACACTGTTGAAAGGAATGTGTTCTTAATAACTACTTGATTAAATAGAGTTAAGACTGACTCACTGCACCATCATGTGGTATAAGCATTATGTGAACGTGCAGCCTGATCCAAGTTCAGCCTCAGTTGGTTAACGCAATACGCAGACCTTCTGGACTCAGCAGTTTTTTGAGAAGTAATTTTGAAAAGTTTTAAACTGAGTGTTTTTACGTATCTTACTTGTGTAAGTTTCTGTAACACGAGTTTCATGAATTTTAGACTGTCTACAAGTGTCAGTCTGTGTGTTGTGTGTCCCAATGTTTATAACACATAATACCAATAAGAAGAGGAGAAAGAAGAAGACTTGAAGAAGTCTTTTGTTTTGAAAGAATATCCCGGAAGTTGCTATGTCTCGTACCCGTTAGCTTTCCCTTAAGTATGACAGAAGGCGGCGTAAGAGCAGATTTCAGACCGGTTTATCGCCGACGCTGAGGAGGACGCCGAGGTAGAGAGCCTCTTATATTTGTTTGAAAAAAGTTAAAATCGGGATTGTCACGTTAAACAAACTTGACAGTAAACTCAGCAGTCGAGCAGGTAAATATTAATGTCAATCTCGGGTTGCCATTTAGCTGTTAGTTGTCGCTGGCTAAAGCTAACGAACGTCGTTAGCTTACACACAGCTGCTAACGCTACCGTAGACATTTCACCAACTTCGTGTCTTAAAAAAAAGCTTAACACCGATAATAATTCTGCTCTTATTTCAGTTACAACGCCAAAGTCCGGAGTTAAGACATTTCATTCAACTTTAATCTGCCAGTTTATGTAGGTCAGGTGTAGTGGGGAGACAAGAAGACTTCTAACCGACGGGACAGCGAAGCGGCCCGGTTCGACTTCACCGAACGAAGCCGGGGAGAAGATATCACGAACGGCGGAGCTTGGCTGATGCGTGCGGGGCCAGCCGAACCACACTGAACGTTTTAATCTACGAGGATTATTGATCATAACGTGCCGGTTCATCCGGACAGACACCCCCATGAATGGAAATCGGAACAACAGGTGGGATCCCGAACTAACTAACCACCGTGCCTAAATGTGCTAATGTGGTGTTCAGGTGCTGCCGAGTTATTTTGAGCCCGTATGTGGTACTTCTCATACATTTAACATTACGTGTTTTCAATTAGGAGTTTTCCTTTAATCAATTTAGTGTCATACATTTTTTTTAAGTGTTCAGGTTATCATACAGAAAAAAAGCTCAGTGGTGTCAGTTCCCAGAGATTACCGGTCAGTTGAGCGCCTTGCACAAGGGAGACATTTGACCTCGTGGTTTTCTACCAGTTTTTCTTAGACTGGGTTTGAACCCCAAGCATAACCAAGGAGTTGCTGTTGCCTAAGCCCGAAAAATGTTGTATTAACAAACCCTTAAAGGCAAACTTAGCCCCTTAGTATTTGCGTGTTTTCCCCCAAACCAGTCTCACGGGTGTCTTTTTTGACTGTGTAGGTTGTCAAAAGCAGGTGGTGATGCCACCAGGTGTGCTTGAAGACTGGGAGGGAGGGAGGGGGGGTATATCCCATCCATCCTATCCATCCACCCACCCACCCACACTGCTGCCATAGTTACTCAGCCTACTGAATAATGTTTAGTTAACTGCTGTCTTTGTTAATTATGAATCAGATAGGCATGGAGGGACATAAATCAATTTACTTTTTGCCAGGGGTATCAGTTTCTGTGTTAATGATTGTTGGGAAAAGTCCAGTGGTGGACTGGGAGGGAGGGGGTATAGATGTTGACTGGTTCATTGAAGCTGACCCATACTTTCTCCATCCCCTTTACCCGTTTCAGATTTGGGCCTTTTTTCAAGCCTGGAAAAAGTTTTAACAATAAACTTTTTCACTATAGTGTGTGTGTGTGTGTGTGTGTGTGTGTGTGTTTTCAGACATACCGGCAGTACTTTTTTCTCTTTTGCCAGGGCACCATTGTAAATACACTGCTGTGAAAAAGTATTTGTTCCCTTAATGATTTCATATATTTTTTTTTTGGTCATGTTTTCAGGTTTGGGTGTTTCAACTCATCAAACAAATTCTGATATTAGATTAAGAGAACCCGAGTAAAGATAAATTGCAGGTTATTTAATTTATTAAAGTAAAACCATCCAAGCCTACCTGTGTGGAAAAAGTAATTGTCCTCAACACAGAGTAATGGGCTGTGCCACCCTTGGCAGTGAGAACTGCAATCATGTATTTTCCATAACTGGCAATGACTCTTTCAAAATTTGACTCATTCTTCTTTACGGAGTTGTTTTAACTCACGATTGCAGGGCTTCTAAGAATGAATGCCTGTTAAGTTCATGCCAGTGCATCTCGATCAGATTTAAGCACAAACTCTGACTTTAAGGTCACTCCAAAACCTTCATGTTTGTGGTGGGGTTTTTTTTGTAGTCTTTCAGTGTTGGATTTGCTGGTGTACTTTGCACATTCTCCTTCAGCATTTTCTTAGAGCAGAATTAATGGATTCAGAATTCAATTATGGCAAGTCATCCAAGTCCTGAAGCAGCAATGGTAGTAAAGGGTGGTAAATGTAAGACGAGCTCAGCAATGGTTCTTTTCTTGGAACTCTCCCATGGATGCCATTTTTGCCCAGTCTTTTGTTGTTGGTTGTTGTGGTTGTTTTTGTTGTTCTGGGATCTGTGACCTCCTGGGTGAGTCGTTGATGTGCTATTAAAACGGAGAAAACCTGGAACCATTGTGAACCTATTTGCAGTTAATGGAGTGGTTCACTGGAGTTTCAAAGACAGATAAATGTCATTGACTTTATACAGCACCTTAAGCTGTAAGCAGCACAACCCAGCTCAGCTTCAGTTTATAATTTTTCTATTTATTTATTAATTTTTGTAATGCAGTACACAGATATTTTGGAAGTGAAGTTATTGTGGTTCTCTCATATCCTGTTTAGACTTCATTCTGGAAAGTTTGTTTTTGTTTTTTAATAAGTTAAACACAGGAAGTATCTGTTTATTTCCTTCAGTAAGCAAGGCTCTGTAATACAATGCAAATTTTATTATACCCAGGATCTTTGTTTTGACTTTGCTTAACCAAACATAAGCAGTCAAGATAAATGATCACACAAAGGTAAATATCAACTGCATGACTGAGTGCATGCATGCACGTCTTTATAGGTTGCGTATCCCAAATCCTTCACTCTGCATAGGCTATGCTATGCAAACAGAAGCATGGCAACATGAAATTCACTTTAGTCTGAAAAAGTGCTACTATATTGATCTAATTGAAGTGTATTTTAAGAAAAACTGGCAAGATCTTTTGTCAACTTTGACTTTGTCAGATTTGAGTGTCGCAGCTTCATTTTTAAGACAGAATTATTCATATGGCATTGAATTTCTGTTTAAAAGTTTGCAATACTGTTAAGTCCTAGTCTTTCATCTGCTTCTCTTGGGAGCGTGTATATTAAGGGTTTTAGAATAATAAAATTGTAATTGTTTGCAGCTAGCATGAAAATCACAGACTAATGTTGCTTCAGAGAATGTATTTCTTACCAAGGCTCATCAGGAAAATGACAAACATTGGATGCTCTATAAAGAAATGTTAGACTCCCTTGCATTCCCTCAGAAGAGGTCTTAATGGTGATGCTACTTTTCATAGAATTGATTGGCCAGTAGGTGGTAATTTGTCACGCACTGATCTCTAATCTTTAACATAATCAGCTCTGGTGCAGGGTTATATTTGCAGAGCTGGTAACCATGCCAATGTATTTGTAACAATAAAAACTGAGGCTGAAGTTATCCTGCAGTAATCCTGCTTTCAGTTTTCCCCTCATGGGAACTGTGATGTTGAGTGTGATGGTAATAAGATGTTTGAACAATTCATACCTATTTATTAACTTGAGAATGAGACATTAAAAAGAGTTCATCTTCAGATTTTATTTTTTCTACACGTGAGGATTGACTCAGTTTTGCCTATTAAATTCTACTTGATGATCATACTTTGCCTGCTTAATTAAGCAGATTATATTCACACCACAACTATTTAAACACTTGTGTTCTATAAAGTTGAGGAGATTTAACCAACACTTGCTTTATTATTCCAGGATGCACTTTAAAACTTTTAGCTTCCAGTGTTGGTGCTGTGGTGGCTGTACAGTATCTCATCAGTGAAGTTCCTTTAAAAATGTGTGGGTTAACTACAGCCATGTGTGGGTGGCTGCTGGTTGTGTGGTGCATTTGTACATTGAAGCAGCCTGATAAGTGGTTATTAATCTCTCCATTGTTGCTCAGGCTAAAGTGAGCTTTTGTCTTTTTGGGACATTACTGGTGCAGTAGCTGCTGCCTGTCCTCTGGAAGTGCCAGTAATGGACATTTCAGTTCAACACTTGAAATCAACTCCAGATCTCTTATTTGCCTTAATTTTTCATAAGAATGCAAGGGAACAAAACATATAACTTGTCAGTCAATTGTCTAATTACGTTCAAGTTTCTGAAAATGAGGGACTGTATTAAGATAATTAATTCCTAAAGATGCTTTTATTAAACCCCTTGAAAAGCTGTACATTAATGATATGTTGTTAGTTTATACCATCACAGTGCTCTTCAAAATCAAAGGGGCAACAATTACAAAGATTGTGACATTGTCCAAATACTCATGGAGCTAAATGTCAGCATTTCTGTTACAAAATCCATACTTCGAAGCTTGTTGGGCTGAAAGTTTCTGGGTAATTCTTAACTCAGAATGGAGCTTTTTGGAGAGGCGACTGCGTATAAGAATAAACTACATATAAAAACCATGGAAAGCGATAGAAGAGTCCGATATCTGAATAGAAGTCTAATTATGATTATTATTTTTAGTTTTTGCCTTTAGCTGAACTAGAATTTCAGTTGATTAAACCAGACTGGTGGGGGCGTGGAGAGATCTTGAAATATTTTGTAACTGTGATTTTTCTTTAGTCAAAGACGAAAAACCTCTTTGATAGATGCTGGAAATTTATTTAAAAGCAGGAAAAACCCAGGTCATTTACTCACACTGAAGACTAAAAGAAATTACATTCTTTTTTTTCTTTTTTTCTTTTTTTTCTTTTTTTTTAAAACAGCACATATTTAAATTCACTACCACCCCTCCTTGTTGTTTTTTTTGTTTTTTTTTTTTTAAAATTTTTCACATCTAGTTTTAGTTAAGTGTAATAATCCTTGTGTTGAATAGACATATACCCAACTAGTGTTTTTTATAAAAGCTTAAATAGAATACATGATTTTAACATTTTTGATCTTTTATTTTGCTATACTGACAGCTCTTAAATAGATCTAATTTTTTATTTTAATAATGGGCACCCTGTTACCTGCCTGAGCTATCATATCTCTCAGGAAGAATCTTTTCTTCTTTTTTTTCTCATTGCAGCTCAGGGATAAATAAGGTAAATCCATGTTGGCCTGCTCTTCCCTCCTCCTGTCAGCACGGTTGTAGTTACCATGGAGAATTATGGCAGCATGGGTGCCGTCACCATGGGAATGGCACAAGGGAATAAAACAACCTGGGGGGAACCATCATGCAGAAAGTGTATTGTTTTAGTCAATAATGCCTCCTTATGACACATTCAGATCCAGATGAGAGTTCAGAACCTGAAACAGTTTAACTTTTCAACCCCCAGTTTCTCAGTTGCACTGATTTCATAGCCATAGTCATCACTGTTGTAGAATTTCTTTTCTCTGATTCACACTTTCATTTCAGCAGCAGCCAAGTGCTCAAAGTCTCGGTGCCTTTACAGCTTCAGCTGTGTATGTATGTATGTGCAAACATTGTCTTGCGGATCCTCTGAGTCACTTTCGTGGAAATTGTGTGGTTGTGTGATGTCATTTTCATTTTCTTTTTTTTCAATGTGTATTTTCCAGTTTGGTATTTATGAAAATTGATGTCAAATAAGCGTGGTGTGTCACTCGCCTACTTCTCCTGTCTGGCAAAGGCCATGTCAGTCAGAAGAAATCTGTGACCGCCAAGCCGGTCTTTATTTTAAAATGTCACCCAACTCTGTAACCTTTCCTACGGTCATTATCAGATTGATGTGGGAATCGCAGTGTTCGTCTGTGTCTTTCAGTTTTGTCGGTTTAAAATGAGGCAATGCTTAACATCCCTGACCATCAGAACCGGCTTACACTGTCTGCACTTTTCCTCCTTATTAACCACTTCCTTCCTTCAGTTTGCCTTTCTCTCTGTAAGGGTGCTCTACACTCGGTGGTACTGTGGTGCAGTGGTTGGCACTGTTGCCTCATAGCAAGAAGGAAGGTTGTTTTGAACCTCCTGGTAGGTGGGGGCCTTTCCTCCCCCTCGGTGTACTCCAGCATCCTCCCACAGTCTAAAGACATGCACATCTGGGTAATCGGTGATTCCACACTAGCCGTAGGTGTGAATGCAACATAGATTATGTGCTTTCGTACAAAGAATAAGTGCTGTATGAATTTACTGTACACTGAATACATTTGTGTATAAGAGCAAAAATTGAGAAGTGAGATTAGATTTACAGTAAATACTAGTGAGTAAAAGCTAAAACTCTGCTCTGTTGTTTAACATGTCCATAAAACTGTTTCCATTCCTTTGAGCTTTTTCTGCTGAAAATATAATTAACAAAATAAACAAATATAGATAAATGTAGACTAAAGTAATCCTGCAGCTTGGGAGTGACTTGGGGGTTATTGCAAAGGAAGGGTCTGTCTCTTTTGGACAGACACCGCTGTCAAATTGAAATAGCATCTTGATGGTTTTAGCTCAGTTGTCTTGTAATGATTCATTGTATTAACTGCCCAAGGTCGTGGCCTCTTGGCTACTTTACTTTTGGAATAAAACAATAATTATAATTTTATTGTCACTGCTTTAGGAGCCGTTGAAGCCCAAGCGCTATTCACATTGCCACGGCGACCGGGATATGGCACCCTTGGAAAATCCATCAAGCTTCTGGCCAACTGTTTTCAGGTGGAAATCCCCAAGATTGATGTCTACCTGTATGAGGTGGACATTAAGCCTGATAAATGCCCGCGGCGGGTCAATAGGTAAGGGAAAATCCCCAAACTCATTTGGTAATTTGGCTCATACAGGACATTATTTACTTTTCCTTTGCATTTTACACCTACACTTTTATGCATCCATTAGTAGTGACGCTGCAGTGTGATCATTTCCAGGGAGGTAGTGGACACCATGGTGCAGCATTTTAAGGTGACCATCTTTGGTGACCGGCTGCCAGTTTATGATGGGAAGAAGAGCCTCTACACTGTGAGCCCACTTCCTGTCGCCACTGGTGGGGTAAGAAACTAGATCCTCTGTGTGGTGTTGGTTTGTTTAGGTTGCACCTGTCAGCAGCTTCTTATCTATGATATTGATTTCTAATGCCCGAGAGTTGAACTTGTCAGTACGCATTTGTATGTCTAAAGCTCACCTGCTTAGGTGGTTCTTATTTTTGGTAACCAGAGTTTTAGTTCAGTTTTCACTTTTATTGATGTGATTTTGAGTCTTTTTTTTATTAATTAATGTAGGCATTATCAGGAGCAAAATGTAACAAATTGGAATTACAGAAATTGGAATGCAAATAAATTGTACTCCCAGCATCAAAGTAGGCAGTGTACACAAATGTGACCACTTTGATGAAAGGGTTCAATTTGAGCTAGTTTTAAATACACAAGTTTAGGTTTAGTTAACTCCAGCAACCTTTCACCCTGGACATGGGGTTATATCAAAGTATAAAGCTGTTTAACAGTTTAAAAAATAAATTCCCCTCTTCATTTCTAATCTTGTTCACTCCACTCAAGTCTTGGTCCCTCCCACCAAAGAGATGTGCAGAGAAAGCATGGAAAAGAAGTCAAATTGAAACTTGCTTGCATAAAGCGATGTCAGTTAAATATGACGCTTGACTCAGATGTTATCTGATTGGTTTTAGCTTGCTATTGGGTTTAATGTTGTCGAATAAGCACATCATGTTCACTTTTATGCTTAGGCCCACTTTTGATGAAATTCATAAAGTGCTCCAATGTGACATGATTGTACAGATAAAGTTTTTATTCACTCACACAAATTAAGGGCAAAAAGTTTGATCATCACAAATAAGTCATATTTTGTAGAGTCCTAGAAGTCGTTTTTGTCTTTTAATCGAGAAATGAGAACTCCACACTTGGTACCACTGATTAAGTATAACCCCTGTATCTTTTTTTTTTTTTCTCTCTTAAACAGGTTGATCTGGATGTCACCCTGCCAGGTGAAGGTGGGAAGGACCGACCTTTTAAAGTCACAATTAAATTTGTGTCATTAGTCAGCTGGCACATGCTACATGAAGTCTTGACCGGACGTGGAGCACCAGGGCCACTGGACCTGGATAAACCTCTGAGCACTAACCCCGTTCATGCTGTGGATGTTGTCCTTCGGCATCTGCCCTCCATGAAGTGAGTTTCTTGTCTTGCACATGTACGAAGGTTTGTTTTGCTGATGAACACCTTTCTAAACTGAACAACTGGAAATTATATGAAACATTTGTTCGAATTACTTATTTAATGTTATTTTCAAATAACTGACATTGATGTCTACTATTTAGCAAGTGTCTTCAATTGGAAACATTTTGGAGACTCTTCCTGAATATTAAGTTGAAGCCTTTGTCTGAATTGTTCTATTTAATTTCTGAAAGATGGTCTGGTTTAAAAATCCAGCAGATTATCTCTAAGCTATCCTGCAGTTTACATATATAATGTTATAGCATCATAAATTGCTCAATCCATCATGCTGTCCTCACCATCTTTGGTTAATTCCACCAAAGCACTTGAGCAAATGAAATGCTAAATTACATTCTGAATACAATAAGAAGAAGAAGTACACTTACCAAGCTCTTATGAAAACAAGTAGATTTACCTGCAACCTCACAGCTGAAACTGCTGTGAAGCTCAGCTGTGTACTCACGTCCTAACAATGTACTTCATGTTTTTTCCCTATTGTCCTTGCTGATTGGCTCTTAGGGCTGTTCATTTGCCATCTTATTGCATAATTTCATCATAGATTTCGTTCATGTGTCCTATTTCTGTCAGAATGTCTTTGCTTCTTGTTTGCCATTACTCTGTTGCATTTTACATTTAAGTGATTAAAAACTGTAAAGGCTAAATAATGTAATCTGAATTAAACATGTGAGTGTCTTTGTTAGTTAATTGTCAAGTCAGGAAATATGATCCAAAGATGCTCGCATCCTGGAGATATACAGCTCCCTTAATTTATTATGCAGCATTTCAACCACAACAGAGTTGCACATTTCATGTATTGCATTTCATCTACAATACCTCAGGTAGATGTATTTTTAGATTAGTAGATGACCCCACTGGGATTTGAATTCGACATGCAGAGATGGATTAAAAGCATCTTTTTATGTAATCTACCTTGGGATGTGTAATTTGGTGAATCCATTAACCAAAATAACTTTCAGTAACATGAACACAAACCCTCTGAGCCTCCTGTGGTTTGAGACATGAAACTCATGGCTTGTTTTGCTGTACCCAGTGAACTCCACAGGGATTAAGTGTAATTTCTGTTCCCTGCTTACCTCTGCGTGCCCTCTACATCGTCACCAGGTACACCCCTGTTGGAAGATCCTTCTTCTCCTCCCCAAAGGACTATGACCATCCACTAGGTGGAGGAAGAGAAGTTTGGTTTGGCTTCCATCAGTCAGTACGGCCAGCCATGTGGAAGATGATGCTAAATATTGATGGTAAGGATGGTGAAAGCAGGAACATTTAAAAGGAATGCATGTAGTGAATACGCATATGCTTTCTTGCCCAGATTAGGATGACATGATCGTTACTGTGTGTGCACTAAACTTAACTACTACTAGTTAATCTGTACAAAAGTAAAGGTCTTAAAACTTTTACAAGTTTTACCATTTTTCTCTTTTCTGAGTTTTTTCAGCTGTCTGCTTTTAGTCACACAGACTTGGAGACAGATTAGCAGGTTGGAATGGCTGCCAACCAGTTACTCAAAGAAAATATGATTCCTGACCGGTTGTGAGTGGGCGCTAAATGGTGCAGGCAGTCATTAGATAAAACTAGTTGCTTTATGATTACTTTGGTCACCAGCAGATTGCTGCGGTTGCCCATAGTTTGCGTGGAGGATGCAATTTATGGACCAACACGTTTGGAAGTTTCACTGCAGTGCAGTAGTGGAACCTCATAATGTGACAGAGGCTAAGAATGTTTGCCTTCAGAGTAAAAGTTGTATCTTATTGCTGAATTATTTCAAAAGGTATGTCTATTGCTTTGATGGCAAACATTCTCAGTTTTCAGTTTCCGTCACACTTTCTGGAATTTATCACAGTGTGGGTAGTTCGTGAGTGTTGGCAAGCAAATTGGTGTCTTCATGCATTCGGTGGGCGACCACAGCAATCTGCTAGCAACCAAAACCATCACAAGAAAGTTTTTGCTGCTGTACTCTCTCTGCAAATGATTTCGGAGACTGCCAGCAACCACTCGCCAGTCAGGGAATTAATTCTGCCTTCCCCTTAGCCACCTAGCCATAACCAGTCAGTGATCCCTGCCACGTTGAAAAGCCAGACTGACTGGTCTCTAGACCTGTGTGACTTATAAGCAGGTTTGCAAATTCCTGTAAAACTTCAGTTTGATTTTAATTCTTCATGTTATTTGGTAAGCTTTGGATGTTTTGTGTTACATTTCATTACATTTGGAAAGGTCTTCTGAGTGTATGCACATTAACTTATTATTATTCTTTTCTTGGCACGATAGTAAAAGCACAAAACTAACTTTTAATGTCACTGTGAAATTTTGGGGAAGCAGACATTTCAGTATTTGTTACTGTTTTGTCACAACAAAATCCAGAATTTGCTACAGATCTTGGTGTCCAGTTGTTTAATGACATAATCAAATTCAGATTTCCCTTTTTGTCTTAATCAAAGCCTCTAAACCAACTCGGCATGTCTTGGCTGTCTACATAAGGCTTCACCATTCTTATATTGATCTGATTTGTTGTTGTGGCACTGGTCAAAGTTGCAACAATTAGATTTTCCCAAAAGTAACTTTTGGTTATATGTGACTGAAAATGAATCTTTCTGGCCTACCATTTTGACTGTCCTAACTCATCTTGTGTTATTTCAGTGTCAGCCACAGCTTTCTACAAAGCCCAGCCAGTCATTCAGTTCATGTGTGAGGTTCTGGACATTCACAACATTGACGAGCAGCCACGCCCTCTCACAGACTCCCACAGGGTCAAGTTCACCAAAGAGATCAAAGGTACGTCACAGAGTGACAGCCTCTGCTTGTTTTTTATCACAGTGTCACAGTAATAACATTTTGTTTATTGCTGCAGATAATTTCAGATCGTGTATGTAATTGAGGTATCAGTTGTTCCACTGTTGGGGGGGGAGCTAACTGCTTATCATTTACATCTTCACAGGTCTTAAAGTGGAAGTGACACACTGTGGAACCATGCGTAGGAAGTACAGAGTCTGCAATGTAACACGGCGCCCTGCCAGCCTCCAGACGTACGTTTCCATATTGCTCCCCCAGTAGATGTTAACTCGCACTCAAAGCTGTTGCTGGCTTACAATAACACATTCTTGGTACTTTCAAATCCTCAGATTTCCATTGCAGCTTGAGAACGGTCAAACAGTTGAGCGCACAGTGGCTCAGTACTTCAGAGAGAAGTACAATCTGCAGCTGAAATATCCCCACCTGCCTTGTCTGCAGGTGGGACAGGAACAGAAACACACCTACTTGCCTCTAGAGGTAAGAACTGATGTCGATCGTAGGAGTTTGCCCTAAAACCCTAAAAGAACAGTCTCTGGATTTTAAATCATTAGAGGTTACTTGCTACTGGGATTGAGAACAATGTGCATTTCTCGCTCTACAAAAGACAGTCGACACACGTTGATTCCTGAGGTCTAAATGAATTTTGTGACATGAATTCTTGGGACTGCGAGGTTTAAACCTGGCAGGGCCCTTGTATGGAGTTTCCATGAAATTGGCATCTAAGAATGTTAGGTTAATGCTGCCTATGTTGGATGACGACACCCTATGAACAGATTGTTAATCTCAAGTTTCACTTCCTGGTTAAATAAAGGTTTTAGAAAATGAGCTTTTTTTTTCCCACATCTAGGGTCATAGGGTCGACTGTTTGGCCAGTAAGCTCACAATGATGGTGTTGCATTCATAACAAGAAACGCACTATGTTAGTGGGTTTTTTTTGTTTTGTTTGTTTTTTAAATAGCACTGACCCATTATTTTTAACATTCAGAGCAGAGCACTACCAGTGAAACACTGCCATGTCTTCACACCTATTGTCATCTGGCCTACTTGTTTTGATTAATTGAACCTGGGCTCAGTTTGCATGTTACTACTCAATAGGTAGGTCATATTAAAAATAAATAAATAAATAACCTACCTTATCTTGAGTAGCCTACCTTCATGTTTAAAGTTTCAAGCCTTTAGTATTATAATACCAGAATCCTTGAATAAGTTTGGTCTATGACACTATGTGGCTCCAGCCACAGCGTCACCAAGCTCTGTCTCCTATGAGAAGGATGGATAGTGTCAAGCAGCATTGGGCCTTCTCTTTTGTGTAAACTACCCTGGTTTGAGAACGGTTTCTTGATGATTAAGATCACTTAAAACTCTCAAAACTTGTAATATGTCAGGACACTATCATTTTAACTGAAAGAATTTCCCAAATACAGTTTGTTTTTGTTTTTTTTAATTGTTGTTCTTACCATTATATCCATCTTGTGATGCTCCTGCTGTGGGCTGTTTGCTTTCTCTTCAACTAATGGAAGTTTAGAAACAGGTTCTTTTGAGTAGTTATTTGGCTTGTTAAATACATGAAAATTTAAAATATAGCTTTACAAGTTGATTAAAATTTCACAGAAAAATATAAATGTGAGATATGTAACTTCACTGCAGTCGGTCTACTGTAGTTTCCATTTTTTCAGTGACTCGTTTGGGTTCAATACCTTCCTGAGAAATGCAGCTGATTAACCGCTTCCACACTTTTGTTTTTACTTCCAGGTGTGCAACATTGTAGCAGGACAGCGCTGTATTAAAAAGCTAACGGACAACCAAACCTCAACCATGATCAAAGCCACAGCCCGCTCTGCACCAGACAGACAAGAGGAGATTAGCAGGCTGGTGAGTGTCCTGTAGGCCAAAAGTAATGCAGCATGGGAGATTTAGTTTTTTGGTGTCTTTGAATAAATAGACTTTTGTCCCCTTCTTAGGTGCGGAGTGCAAACTATGATGCCGACCCGTTTGTCCAGGAGTTTCAGTTCCGTGTGCGAGATGAGATGGCTCAGGTGACGGGTCGCGTCCTGCCAGCCCCCATGCTGCAGTATGGTGGCAGGGTGAGCTCTGAACCCTTTATGGTACCTTCCCCTTTAAATCACGCTTCATACGCATGTGTGTGTCCTTCTACATGTCTCTGTGTGTGTTGCAGACAACAGGATTTCCTCCACTTAGCTACAGGAAGAGTTTTTGGGGGGTTTTTTTGGGTTTTTTTTTTTTTTTTTTTTTCTCAGTTTTATTGATACAGTGTCAAACCATAACAGTCGCCTCAAGGTGCTTTATATTATTAAAAAACTCCAACAATTAAATGAGCCCCTATGAGCAAGAGCTTTAGTGATAGTGGTAAGGAAAAACTCCACTTTAACAGGAACAAACCTTCAGAGGAACCAGGCTCAGGGAGGGGCGGCTAGCTGATTCGACCGGTTTGGGGTGAGGGGAGGAAGACGGGACAAAAGACATCCTGTGGAAGAGAGCCAGAGATTAATAAGAACCAATGATTAAATGCAGAGAGGTGTATTAACACATTGTGAGTTGGGAAAAGGATGACTGAAAAAGAAATACTCAATGCACCATGGGAATCCCCCAGCAGCCTACACCTATTGCAGCATAACTAAGGGAGGATTCAGGGTCACCTGATCCAGCCCTAACGATATGATTTATCAAAAAAAAGTTTTAAGTCTAATCTTAAAAGTAGAGTGCGTGTCTGCCTCCTGAATCCAAACTGGAAGCTGCTTTCATAGAAGAGGGGCCTGAAATCTGAAGGGGAGAAACAAAACTACACAACCAAAACAGTTTGGTCTTATGGCGTGTTTGCAACAAACTAGAAGCACAGTTTTCCTTCAGCACAGTTGCAGAAAGTATGTGTAATGAGGCAAATTTGCACCAGGAAATATCAGCAGAGATAAGGTGCACATTTTTCAGCCAAAAAAAGTCCTTGCTGTTGCTTTGAGAAAACCAAGTCGCATCCTGGGATCGTCCTGATTCCACTGACAATCACAAATGGGGTACAATCTTTGGCACCTGTTAGCCTCTGCTTCACCTTGTTTCCTTTTGCTGCACTTGGGATGAGCTGTTTGAACCCTATCCATGCAGAGTCCAACACAGAAGCAGCAAAACCAGAAATAAAGCAAAATTGCCCCCTTTAGCACATCTTTGTGCTACTTTCAAGTTAAATAAGCCCAAATTGAGGATGAAGAAAGGAGCTGACTGACAGAAAGCGTTCCCCAACATGCATTTCAGCCATGAGATTTCATATATGTGAAGGTGTTAGTGATTGGTTTTTGCAAATTGTGTATATTTCTTCATGTTAAAAAGATTTGTTCTTATGATTAAAAATGCACAGTTATGCAACTCCCTCTCAAAGGTCAGTGTGCCGCTTAGTCAGAATTATTACATGAAAAACATTTATAAAGCAGGTGAATTTCACTTCAGAACAGCTATGCCATATCACATCATCCACAATAATACAACTCTAAATGTTTACATGATGTTAAAAAAAAAAAAAAGTTATCATCCATCCTTAACAAAGCACAATACTTTGCAAAATATCCACAAAATCTGTGGCTCTTGAAGGTGGAAATGATGTATTTTCACTAAAATTGTGTGAAAAGGAGGAGATGCTAGCAGGTGGAGATGTGCAACACAAAAGTAAATGAATTTAATTGAACTGATCATCAGTGGCCCATTAGCTAGTTTTCCTGTGGAGAAAACCCTGGGAGGAGAAATCATCTTTAATTTGCTTCCACTGTTCGACTACAAACTAATTCAGCTAACATTTTCTCATCTTTCTGAACATGTTTGTGATTTCTGTTTAATTACACCTTAACTCATGAATGCTGTTTTGGGAGATCATCTACACAGACAATGTTGATTAATTTTTAGTGGTTCTGTTTTGCGTGTCAATCATAAAATTATTTTTTTTCCCCTTTGTATGTGCATGACGAAAGCAAGAACAAAAGCAGCAAAAATATTACCAAATAATGAGCCAATCAGTCGCTCAGCCGATTAAGAAAACCAGCTGAGCTCCCACTAGCTGCTTACGTCTTATGAATCCATACATTGTCATTGTCCATGTATTATATTTGTTTGTGTGACTGTCAGCCCCAGCAGATCAACCCTACACTGTCATTGCAGAACCGCACGGTGGCCACACCCAGTCACGGGGTTTGGGACATGAGAGGGAAGCAGTTTCACACTGGAGTGGAGATCAAGATGTGGGCCATCGCCTGCTTTGCCACCCAGAGGCAGTGCAGAGAAGAGATCCTCAAGTGAGCTTGGTTTGGTTATTTATTTACAAAGTGGTTAAACTGTGAAATGGTGGAAATGGAAATATCCACTTGGTGGATATACATATGTTAGACTTGCTTTATAAGTGTGTTAATTTAGTAACAATTTGTTGTAGTTTCAAAAAGTAAACTGAAACAAAGTTTCATTGGTTATTTAAGGTATTTGATTTGTTCTATGGAGGTATAAGTTAAGTACAGATTGTTAATCTTCAGAACCATACTGCTCATTAAACTTTAATTCCTCCCCCCCCCCCCCCTTCTTCTTTCAGGAGCTTCACTGACCAGCTGCGGAAAATCTCAAAGGATGCTGGGATGCCTATCCAAGGCCAGCCCTGTTTCTGTAAATATGCCCAGGGAGCTGACAGCGTGGAGCCCATGTTTAGACACCTGAAGAACACCTACGCTGGACTACAGCTCATCATCGTGATCCTACCTGGCAAAACACCAGTCTATGGTACAAAGATCTTTTAATTTCTAAACCAAGTGTTGTTTAACAATAATATATTTTCCTTTTTTTGTTTTTGAAAGAGAGAGATTTTGAAGTTAAACTCTGTCGAAACAGAAAATGGCTTTATATGTCTGACGTATGATTATCAAGCATGCCTGCATAGAGTAAAAGGATGACTAATATTTCTGATTACCCACAGCTGAGGTGAAGCGGGTGGGTGACACCCTCCTCGGCATGGCCACCCAATGCGTGCAGGTGAAGAACGTAGTAAAAACGTCCCCTCAGACCCTCTCTAACCTCTGCCTCAAGATCAATGTCAAACTGGGAGGCATCAACAACATTCTGGTTCCACATCAGCGGTAAGCTCACAAAACTTCAAACTGAAATTAACAGACTTTGATGGTTTTTTGTTTGTTTGTTTGTTGTTTTTTAAACACATTCTCACTGAAGTGCTTATATGACATTATGAGCTAGAAAAAGCTGTAAAATAAATAAATTATTTACATTGTTTATTTGTTTCAAAGTTTAAAACTATGAAACAGTTGGGGCTTTTTCTCCTCTGTTTTTCTCCTTGAGGTTTGTTTGCCAAAAATCGTGTGATCTGTCATTTCATGATGGTTGGTAGATAATTTTTTTTTTTTTCCCTGTCCTCTTTCTTCCAGACCCACTGTGTTTCAGCAACCTATCATCTTCCTTGGGGCTGATGTCACTCATCCTCCTGCAGGAGATGGAAAGAAGCCATCTATTGCAGCGGTGAGTCGTCTCGTCAGGAAACATCTTTTTCCCTTTCCGGTTTCTTTCGTTTAAGAAACACTTATAAATTGCAACATATTCCCTCCTTAGCTGAACTGGAGAAAATTATTCATGTATTGGTGTCATCGTGCTTGGATTACTGTAATGCCCTGATTACCGGCTTGGATAAATCTATTATACCTCCAGGCTGTACAAAAGGCTGCAGCCAGGATATTAACTCATTCTATTAAGCAAGCTCACATTATTCCTATTTTTTATTCTTAACATTGACTCTCAGTAGATCTTTGGATTTATTTAAAAATTCCTGTACTTGAATACAGAGCACTAAAGAGTATTTCACAGACTCAGAGTGTTAGTTCCTCTTATAAGATTTAAGATTTGTGAGGTCAAGCTGCGACTACAGTTAGCTGACTGTGGGGACCTCTTTAAAAAACAATTAATCTTTGTTGTTGTTGTTGTTAATAGTGGTTTGAGTACTTGTTCTCGGGTTTATGTTTGCAGTGATGAGTCACAAAACAGGCCTAAATGTATCGGATCCCCATAAATAGAAATGTTGTTGTAGATTATTTGCACTGTTGACACTATTTAATTGGCTAGGTTAAAGTATTAATTTTTAACAGAAAATGATGGCAGGGTTTTGTTTTTTGTATGTTTTTTGCAATTGTCTACACTCCTCCTATAGGTGGTAGGCAGTATGGATGCCCACCCCTGCAGGTACTGTGCTACAGTGCGGGTCCAGAGGCCTAGACAGGAGGTCATCCAGGATTTGGCCTCTATGGTGAGAGAGCTCTTAATCCAGTTCTACAAGTCGACCCGCTACAAGCCAACAAGGATCATTTTCTACAGGGATGGAGTGTCAGAGGGCCAGTTCAGACAGGTACTTTAAAAAAATATATATATATTGTTCAAGGCTTATTGTTAGTTTTCCTTTGGGTGGAAACTCTTTCAGGCACCATAAACACCAGTTTAACTTGTACACGAAGTTGTTTATTATTTGGTAAATAACACCAAAGAAATGCTGTTTATTTGTTATACCATGA